AGATACCAGTGATCTCCTCCTCCTCCTCCTCCTCCTCCTCCTCCTCCTCCTCCTCCTCCTCCTCCTCCTCCTCCTCCTCCTCCTCCTCCTCCTCCTCCTCCTCCTCCTCATCCCAAGCGCTCATGAGTTGCCTTGGCAACTTGTGCGCTCTTGTATGTGCATGAGCGGGGGCCTGAGAAGCCCACAAAGTGAACATTATGTGTCATCAGAGAGGATTAGGAGCCCACGGTTTAGTCAAGGGCTCAGGATCTCGCCGCTGTCGTGCTGGAGGGTTTTATTCAATATAAAGCACGCACACACACACACACACACACACACACACACATATATAAATGTGCTTTCATGGTCGAATCGATGCCTTCAATACAGGCAGAGACTGACAAGGAAGACTGAAATTGACTTTCTTCCTGTAACCTGTAACACATCTGTAACAAGATTCTTTGACAGAAACCAGCCTGACCAGGCCATCCATATTTTATCCACCTCTAAGGAGGCACATCATGCCTGTTCCCCCTGTCTGCAGTGCTTCAGAGAGTTGTCCTTCTTACGATCAGATCTGTTATAGATCGCATTGATGTAAGATACAAAATAAGATCCAGAAACTCATATAACGTGAATGTGACTCAGGTTTAACAGCTGAAATCAGATCGGCTCCGACAAAAGAGCTTTGTGATTTACAAACACAACTGTCTTAGTCCTGGCAGCCTGAAGAGCAACGTTGGCATGGAGGAGGACAGAAACCCGTCAACACAGAGATAAATACGTGTAGTTGCTCAATGTCAATTTAGCTTTGTATGAGGCGAGCACATGGAAAACACATTCAGATTGAAACACCGGAACGGCTGTAGCAACATACGTTTTAGATTTACAAAGCTTCTACTAGGAGTTTCCAATGTCTGTTGGAATATTTTATGACTTCATTATCTTAAATAAAATAAGAAATCTTCACACAACATCTTGTATAAATGGTGTGGGGCCAGAATATGTGTAACAGTCAGGAGAGAGGGGCTGAAGCCTCTGCCTGAGTATCTGTTTCCCTTCCTGTTTGACTTTCCTTCCTCTTTTTGCCTCGTTCTTTAGTCCTTTAGCAATAGTTGTGTTCCTCTGCTCCTCCACACTCTGCTCTCCTCACTCTCTCCTTTCTGTCTCCTCTTCCTCTCCTCTTCTCCGTCCTGCTGTCTGATAATAAACCTCCCGGCGTCGTTCTCTAACCTTCCCGACAGGAAGTTTCCTGTGCTGAAACAGAGCCCACGTTGGATTGCTTCCTGCCAAAGTGCGTTGTGGGACACGTTTGTTTGGGCCCCCTTCCTCCTCCTCCTCCTCCTCCTCCTCCTCCTCCTCCTCCTCCTCCTCCTCCTCCTCCTCCTCCTCCTCCTCCTCCTCCTCCCTGGGTGCTTCCTCCTCTGGGCTCTGTGCAGATGGCTGGGGCCGGCAGACCGGATCTCGGAGGGGTTTTGGCAGAGCAGCACCTCTCTGGCTCTGGAGAGAGCATACCGCAGCCATGACCCCCCGACCCCGGCTGCACTGCTGCCCCCCCCTCTCAACACTCTCAGTCAGCCACGAGAGAGCAACGTACAGCTGCTAATTCTAAACTGAAAGAAAGCCAGTCTTGTAGTCGGTCAGGAGGAAGTCAAGTTATTACGAGAGGTATTTCAATGTGTTCTCTAACTACTGATAAGTTGAGCATTTGAAATTGGTAAGGTGCAGACCTTTATTTTGACCGAAGGAATTCATGACAATAACAATTAGGGCGGTTTACTTTCCCCCACAAGCTCCGTTGATTAGCATTGGAAAAGCTACATGACAACGTCAATAAACCACACCCCCGCCTCTCAAAGACTGGAACCACATCGTGTCGATGGTTACTTTTAGCATCTATTCATGACCACACAGATATATTCAAACGTTTTAAAGACATATTTCCCTATGTGCCCTCCACCAGCTCCTGTGGTTGTGGAACACCTTAATCCCGTTCCCTACACTTTCTGGTGTCGTCTGCTGACAGGCTGAGGGTCGGAGCCTGACGGGCCGTACGCCGTGCTTCAGATAACCCGAGCTTTCCCGCCTTATCGGCAGCACCCCGGCCACTATCTGAGCTCAGAGCAGGAGAAGGGAAGAGGAGGAATGGGAATCTAGACAGGGTTTCAATTGATATCGATTGCACTCTGTGAAACTTCCTCTGTTTGACGGGTGGGGGGAGGGGGTTCCTATTACTTCTGTAACAGTGACATTGGCGGCCAGAGATAACAGCTGTCAGACTCCCAGAGGAAGTGTTTGAGGCTGTGATAAGTGAGAAGTAAGGAATGAGTGCTTCTGCTGCATGTGGGTGTCATGGATTCTGAGCGCAGACACACACTGCTGTGAGTGTGTGTGTCTGTGTGTGAAAGAGAGAGGGGGGCGGGTCTAAGTCAGGCTGTAAATCTTTACACTAAGAGTGCTAAATGATTCCATGAGTCAGCAGTTTCTTTGATATGCCTAATGAGATAAATAAGGGTAGAAAGATGTTTAATGTGATGCTTAAAAATATACTTCCTGTTAGGTCATAACATCACAGTCCCAGTCTCAGTAGTTGTGAATTAACCTCTAGGATCAAAGATATCAAACCAGGTGAGCTTTTGATCATCCTGGACCTATCCCAAAAGCAATGAGATCTCTCCACAGGATATTGGTTCAATTGGCGCTTTCACACCGCAGTACTTTTTCCACAAAGGTTCATGAAAAAGTAGTTCAAGAGAACTCTTTAGTTCTCATGAACTAAGTACAGATCGCGTTCACACCGGAATAAGTCCCTGGGGGAGGATTAGGCAAATGAAGCCGCTGACGTCACTTATTCTTCTTCTGCTTTGGGTTTACTGGCAGGCCGCAAACCACTTCACGGCATATACTGCCTCCCGAAGTCCCCGGCCGGAAGTCCCTGGAGTTGGAGACTGGCTTCAGTAGAAGCTGCTGGGAGTCCCAGCAGCTTCTACTGAAGCCTTCTGAGTAAATCGCCAGAACGCCGACACCTCCTCATCTCCACTGCTCCCATGTTTTCTTTTGTGTTGCCATAAGTTAGTCTCTCTGTGTTTGTAGGCTGGGCTAATGCTAATAATGCTAATGCGAGGATAATAAAATGGGAGTTTTACGGGGCGTGGTTTGCAATCCGCCCAGCCAATCAGACATAGGAACCTTTTTCTCCCACGAAAGTACCTGCTCTCTAGCAGGGACGGAAAAGGGGGTAAAAAAGGTTCTGAATTATTAACTCATTTTAGTTCCGGCTCTTTTTGGTGTGAACGCGACATTTCGGAACTATATCGGAACTAAAGTGGGAAAAGTACTGCGGTGTGAACGCGGCTAATGCAGAACATGTGCTCTGTGGCAAACAACAGTTCATGATATTAATACGCCCTGTTCAGCAAGATGATCTTAACAAATAATCCCGACTTGTCCTTTTCTCGATGAGTAGGTCCAATCAGCAGAAGTAAAGTGTCCCCGACAGCATTTGTAGTCTCATTCTTCTGCCTTTTAAAAAAACCAAAAGCTTCAACATTCCCACGTGGGTTATTTACTGACATACTTTATATCATAGAGTATTGAGCTCATGGGTTGAGCTTGTGTTCATCACAGACCTGACCAAAAGCCAAGACACATTGATATTGAGAGGAACTAGAAGTGCAAAGTGCTGACTCACCCTCTGTTGTTTGATACTCCTTCCTTCACTGTTTGCTGATAGGGTGAAGTAAGCCGTATCACTACACTTGCTTTTCTGATAAGATTATTCCTTAGTCCTGAAACCTCTTGGATTAATAGCACACCGTTTCATTTGACATAGAGTTGAGTTTTTGTTGAATGCGCTAACACACAGACATGAGCTTAAAAAGGATTTCAACATAATTAAAGTGGAAAGATGATGTGCAGGTAATGTAACACGGACCACTGCAGTACAGCTTAGACTCATTGGATCAACAAATACAATCCTTTCATTTAAATGTAGCTGAAATGCTTGTAGGTCAGTAGGATACCCAGTTCCCACGGTGACAAAGGGAAATAAGAGCTCTCTCCCTCCACGTGTCTTCACCCCTTTATGCTCAGACTAATACAGAGTGTGTCCTCTGGAGTTCAGAGGGAGCAGCACAGTTCAGGATGGATCAAATCAAATCACACTTTCTTCTTTTTTTATCCTGCTTATTTATTCAGTATTCTTCCCTTAACCTATCATCTCCTCATCTTTTATTCTGCCCTCCTCTCCCGCTCTGACTCTGTCTCCTCCTTCATCTTTCCCCTCCCTTTATCTCTGCTTATACGTTCCCGTAATCACTCACTCCTTTTGGCTTTTATCTCCACTTCCTCAATATCCTTTTTACTGCCTCTGCCTCTGCCTCCTTCCTTCCTCCCCCGCGCTTCCCTCCCTCCCTTTCACCCTCCCCTCCTTCCTGCCTTTGCTTCTTTTTTTCCTTCCTCACCTCAACCCCCCCCATCCTTCTGCGTCTCTCCTCTGAGCTCATCCTTTTTTCTCTTCCTTCCTTCCTTCCCCCGTCACCTCCTTATTAAAACCCTCACTCGAAGACATGCTGCTCCAAAAACAAGTTAAAAAAAGAATTTAAAAAAAGCAATTTTGCTTGTTATAAGTAAAATAATCTGCCAATTGAACGATGGAGAATTAGCTCGGTAAGACTTCTTGAAATAAGATGGGATATTTAGAGAAATCAGATCTTGTAATCAGCTGGGAGAACTTATTTTGAGCTATATGCTCAAAAGCTTTTTGTTATCTGATGTTTTTCAAAAATCAAGTATGATTATTTTCTTAAAACAAGATGCTTTCAAGAGTCTTTGACTTAAAGAGATACTTAAGATGCATTGTCTAAAAACAAGAACCTATTTCACACTACATTGTTACGCCCCAAGTTATTATGTCTTATATCAAGTATAGGGACATATTCTGACTAGAAGTTAGACAAATATACTTGTCAAGATTTGGAGTCTTTGTAGTGTGGTCTCACCCCCCTGCTCTGTGTCTCCAGGCCTGCAGCCGGTGTTCTGGAGCAGGGAGGACGTGGCCCAGTGGCTGCGCTGGGCGGAGAAGGAGTTCGCCCTGCGGCCCATCACCAGCGGATCCTTCCAGATGAACGGCAAGGCCCTGCTGCTGCTCACCAAGGAGGACTTCCGCTACCGATCCCCCCACTCCGGTACTGTCCTCTTTCCACCTCTTCAAGAACAGTATGAAGATATGACTCCTGCCTGAAACGCTTCACAAATGAGTCACTCTCATTGGTTGCATTAGATTGTCCAACTAGATAGAACAACACAGGTATAAAATACATGAATCAATGTTACAGTGCAGTGTGAGATATATATAGTTCAAAAAGAAAAGTCTTCATCTAATTTACAGTATTTTGTTAAAAAAAGAAACACTTATTCAAGAACACTTGAAAAAACGTGGTGCATTTATACATAGAAGCTTATTTTTCTGAGGTGAAAAGGGACACATTCGGACTGTTAGGACTAAATCATGTTGGGAAATAATAGCTTGGGTTCCTCGAGGATGAATAAACATCTGACCCCTGATCAGCTTTTCCATTTGTAGTTGAGGCCAATATTATAGTTTATTTCTACATAAAGCGCTTTGCCAATGTAGCTTTAAAATCAATGTGTTTACAGCAATACTACACCCTTTTAAATCAATAGAGTGCAGGGGGGGGGGAGGCAGCTGTCACAGCCGGGTGCTAGGGGAGGAAGTAGGGGACGGTTGATCAGGAAGTACAAACCAACCTCAAATGTAGCCATAGCAACGCTAACGGGCTGCAAATAATGCCGAAGTGTTTTCCTTTGCAGATTTTTAGATTCCCTTTTTAAAATGAAACGGGATTCAGTGTGTGAGTGTGTGAGGGCTGAAGTCAGTGCTGTGAGGCTCAGGGTGATGTGATGTTGATATAGTCATCATAAGAGAAAGTGATCAGCATTGTGATATACCAATATAGACATTGAATAAACACTACACAGTATGGGATTTACGCATTTGAGGTCATTTACAGTCCAAAACAGTGAGGGAATGAGGATTACAAATCAACATATAATTAATGCTTTCAAAAAAATGAATTGATGAAATAAAGAATCCACAAACAAAAGCATAATCAATCAATCAATCACACTTTATTTATATTGCACCTTTTGAGATAATCAAGTACAATTAAGAGTTTTTCACGAATGATTGTTAAAGGTCATAATGATCATCAGTTAAGTGTAAACAAAACAAAAGTGAAATAAATGATAAAAACGCTGATATAATTAGTAGGGACGCTCCGATCGCCAATTTTGGGGCCGATCGCCGGAATCAGTACTGGCCGATCCGATCGAGTGGGCGGGGCCTATGGGGATCTTCCACTTAAAGTGATGTTTTAAACTCAGTTAATGGGGCTCATTCACTGGAGCTTCCACAAACAACAATCAACATCATTTTTACATTCAGATGAAGTACATTATTCAAGTTTACATTAACTTTGGATAATAACACGGGAGGAATGAGCGGAGCCTCTCTCTTTTCCTCTCTCCCCCCTCTCTCCCTCTCCTGACAGCCTGTCAGTATCTCATGCAGCTCACTGATCCAGTAATGAGTGACCCGACAGTGAAGAATACATATATTTATAATAACTAGTTTGGCTTGTCCCAGAGGTAGATCAAATAGCTAAGTGTGTTAGGTCTAATTCTTAGTGTGTGTTTCGCTCCGCTCACCGGTCCGTCAGGCGGAGCTGCAGGATTTATGCTTCACACACGTTGCATATATCGCTATTTTACTGTCTTTTTCGGACACCTTAAAATACTGCCAGACCGGTGAAGCCATTTTGGCGAGCTTGTTTTGCCGCACAGAGAAAAGTGTCATGTATTTTATGTCATGTGATCGGCTCTCTCGATCGGCCTTTATAGAGAGCACCGATCGATCGGCAGAGAGTGAATATCGGCCGATGACGATCGGCGGCCGATCGATCGGAGCGTCCCTACTAATTAGTATAGAATAAATAATGAAACCAGAGAAATAAAACACGACATAAAAGCTCAACGGAACACATAACAAAAGTAATGCATACATGATGCATACATCAATGTTGCTCAATTATCAATATATGAATCATTAATCTTTTTCTATGACTTTATTAATGCAACCGATTTCACTGTGATAGCGGAGCTTTCTGCTGCTCTTCATTTTAGCAAACTGGAAGACCTTTTATCTAAAGAAATATATATATAAGACGTTTATTTTGCAGTTTCTTACCAACATCTATTTACTTATTTATTTGATAATGCATTTGTATTTATATAATTAAACGTTTAAGTCATTTTAAATCTTCCCTGAAATGGGAAGTAAACAGGAAGTGAGTTAACATGATGTTGTGAGGATGATGTGTCCAGCTGTCAGCTGCTGCTGTTTCCATCCCAGCTCTGTAGTTCACATCCTGCTGCAGCTCTGTGGGGACACACCATCACATCTCTTAGTATCTGTCTTCACTCGTCATGATGTCAAACAGAGCATTTGGTGGTAGAATGCATCAGCACCTGTAGAAGCTCAGACACAGTGATGTCCTGAAGCTGAGGAGAGAGAGGAAGCTGAACACTGTGAGGAGAGAGGAAGCTGAACACAGTGAGGAGAGAGGAAGCTGAACACAGTGAGGAGAGAGGAAGCTGAACACAGTGAGGAGAGAGGAAGCTGAACACTGTGAGGAGAGAGGAAGCTGAACACAGTGAGGAGAGAGGAAGCTGAGGAGAGAGGAAGCTGAACACTGTGAGGAGAGAGGAAGCTGAACACAGTGAGGAGAGAGGAAGCTGAGGAGAGAGGAAGCTGAACACTGTGAGGAGAGAGGAAGCTGAACACAGTGAGGAGAGAGGAAGCTGAACACAGTGAGGAGAGAGGAAGCTGAACACAGTGAGGAGAGAGGAAGCTGAACACAGTGAGGAGAGTGGAAGCTGAACACAGTGAGGAGAGAGGAAGCTGAACACAGTGAGGAGAGAGGAAGCTGAACACAGTGAGGAGAGAGGAAGCTGAACACAGTGAGGAGAGAGAGGAAGCTGAACACTGTGAGGAGAGAGGAAGCTGAACACAGTGAGGAGAGAGGAAGCTGAACACAGTGAGGAGAGAGGAAGCTGAACACAGTGAGGAGAGAGGAAGCTTGAACACAGTGAGGAGAGAGGAAGCTGAACACAGTGAGGAGAGAGGAAGCTGAACACTGTGAGGAGAGAGGAAGCTGAACACAGTGAGGAGAGAGGAAGCTGAGGAGAGAGGAAGCTGAACACTGTGAGGAGAGAGGAAGCTGAACACAGTGAGGAGAGAGGAAGCTGAGGAGAGAGGAAGCTGAACACTGTGAGGAGAGAGGAAGCTGAACACAGTGAGGAGAGAGGAAGCTGAACACAGTGAGGAGAGAGGAAGCTGAACACAGTGAGGAGAGAGGAAGCTGAACACAGTGAGGAGAGTGGAAGCTGAGGAGAGAGGAAGCTGAACACAGTGAGGAGAGAGGAAGCTGAACACAGTGAGGAGAGTGGAAGCTGAGGAGAGAGGAAGCTGAACACAGTGAGGAGAGAGGAAGCTGAACACAGTGAGGAGAGAGGAAGCTGAACACAGTGAGGAGAGTGGAAGCTGAACACAGTGAGGAGAGAGGAAGCTGAACACAGTGAGGAGAGTGGAAGCTGAACACAGTGAGGAGAGAGGAAGCTGAGGAGAGAGGAAGCTGAACACAGTGAGGAGAGAGGAAGCTGAACACAGTGAGGATAGTGGAGCTGAGGAGAGAGGAAGCTGAACACAGTGAGGAGAGAGGAAGCTGAGGAGAGAGGAAGCTGAACACAGTGAGGAGAGAGAAAGCTGAGGAGAGAGGAAGCTGAACACAGTGAGGAGAGAGGAAGCTGAACACAGTGAGGAGAGTGGAAGCTGAACACAGTGAGGAGAGAGGAAGCTGAACACAGTGAGGAGAGAGGAAGCTGAACACAGTGAGGAGAGAGGAAGCTGAACACAGTGAGGAGAGAGGAAGCTGAACACAGTGAGGAGAGAGGAAGCTGAACACAGTGAGGAGAGAGGAAGCTGAACACAGTGAGGAGAGTGGAAGCTGAGGAGAGAGGAAGCTGAACACAGTGAGGAGAGAGGAAGCTGAGGAGAGAGGAAGCTGAACACAGTGAGGAGAGAGGAAGCTGAACACAGTGAGGAGAGTGGAAGCTGAGGAGAGAGGAAGCTGAACACAGTGAGGAGAGAGGAAGCTGAGGAGAGAGGAAGCTGAACACAGTGAGGAGAGAGAAAGCTGAACACAGTGAGGAGAGAGGAAGCTGAGGAGAGAGGAAGCTGAACACAGTGAGGAGAGAGGAAGCTGAGGAGAGAGGAAGCTGAACACAGTGAGGAGAGAGAAAGCTGAACACAGTGAGGAGAGAGGAAGCTGAGGACAGAGGAAGCTGAACACAGTGAGGAGAGAGGAAGCTGAACACAGTGAGGAGAGAGGAAGCTGAACACAGTGAGGAGAGTGGAAGCTGAACACAGTGAGGAGAGTGGAAGCTGAACACAGTGAGGAGAGAGGAAGCTGAACACAGTGAGGAGAGTGGAAGCTGAACACAGTGAGGAGAGAGGAAGCTGAACACAGTGAGGAGAGTGGAAGCTGAACACAGTGAGGAGAGAGGAAGCTGAACACAGTGAGGAGAGAGGAAGCTGAACACAGTGAGGAGAGAGGAAGCTGAACACACTGAACACAGTGAGGAGAGAGGAAGCTGTGAGGAGAGAGGAAGCTGAACACAGTGAGGAGAGAGGAAGCTGTGAGGAGAGAGGAAGCTGAACAGTGAGGAGAGAGGAAGCTGAACAGTGAGGAGAGAGGAAGCTGAACACACTGAGGAGAGAGGAAGCTGAACAGTGAGGAGAGAGGAAGCTGTGAGGCTAGCTGAAGCTGACAGCTGTTTTCATACTGCTGGCTGTTGGCTCTGTTGACGGTGACATCAGTGAAAGCGTCATTTTGCGGAACAGAGCAAAACTTTTGGCGTTTGTTTCCTCCTTTTGGGGAGTGTAAGGGCGCACTTCCCATCAGCCCCTGCTGTGAGACATATTTACTTTATAGAAGCTCTGAGAATGAAACGTTTACTTTATGGAATGTTTTAACTTCACTGTGTCGCAGGCTAAATCACAGCAGAAAGTTCACACGTATGAGAAAAGTAGAGCCTAAAGGGTGTTCCATAGATCAGTCTGACTAACTGGAAGCTTTCTCTCTTTCCTCATTTCCTAGCAATTGTGATTCATACTGATAAACATTTAATAAGCCCATTGGACACATGTGAAGACTAACACTAGCATTTTCAATCCAGAATCAAAGCTAACTTTAAATAATAAAGTTAAAACCTTGTTCCACACATGCAGCATATACAAATATAATGTAACAAGTATGCAACAAAGTGATGGTAATAACATAAGTACAGTACAATAAATAATCATCCAAAAGTTCATGACAGTTAACCCTCTCAGTAAAATGAACACATAAGACGAAAAGAATAAATACAATAAAATATAAAAAACTATAAAATAAATATATAATTAAAACAATATAATAATAAAAAGCATCAGGAGGTGGAATCTTTCCCAATAATGGAACTCCACAGGACAAGGAAGTGAGAACTGAAAGGTGTGTGTGTGTGTGTTCCATCACTTTCTTCATGAGATTCATTTCCTTGTTATTGTAAGATCACGGCCTCTGTACCTGGGCTATGCGTTGACTGTGTAAATGTTTGTGTGTGAGAGGCCACACTTCTGTTAATCATCGGCTCCACTTCCTGCTCTGTGTCTGCGCTCTGCTACTGTCCAACACTTAAAGGACAGCTCATACACAGCCACGGCCCATCTACCTGTGTCAACATCCACTTCATGTTGGCCACTAAGTGTTGTGCAATGCCTCAGCTCTATAGGTGTTGGATTATCTAAGACATGTTTTTCTAATATAAAGTGTTGCCATGGTGCCCTGTCCAGTAAAGAACCCTGTAATGTGGGTCTGTCCCTCAGAGGCTCTTCCATTATTGCTCAAGACCCCTGCTGCCTGGAAAGCAGGAGCAGAAGAAGGGGAAGTTGTGGATGACGCTGCTTTCCATTTTCTAGCTACATGCTAGTGATGCTAACCTGTGAGCTTTCCTCTGCAGGGGACGTCCTGTACGAGCTGCTGCAGCACATCCTGAAGCAGAGGAAGCCCCACGTCTTCTACCCCTCCGCATACTTCCCCGGGAACTCCTTCCACTCGCTGCCGGAGGGCGCCTCGCAGCACCTCAAGCTGGAAGGTCAGTCCCATAGACGCTGCTCTAATGCATACATTTCATATTTTTATATTATAAAAAATATATTCCATTACAACTGTTGTAATCAAATCATCAAACAAGAAATTAAGAATAAAAAACACTTCAGTTAAAGCCAAATTAAAAAGGTGGGTCTTGAGTATGCTCTTAAAGTACATACAGTTATGATGCCTCTTGTGTTTTTGCCTCTCATAGCGCTTTTAATTCCCTGATAGGTCTAACATTAAGCTCAGAGTTATAGTTTACTCCATGATATTGATGTTATTTTAATGTGTCCTCCCTGTCTATATACACAAGGTAGTCTCAATATGAAAAACTCTTCACTGTTGTAAAGCTCAGTTGGTAGAGCTGGGGCCCATGGTCTGGTGTTAGGACCCCGACCGGAGGACAGGCTCCAGGCTGCTCTGGCACCAGTTCCCTCCGTCTCCCCGTCAACACTGTGTCTTGAATAAAAGCACTCGTTGCCTGAAAAAGTATTAAAAAAAACAGCTCAACGATTGCATTCCAGAACCCCACCACTGCTAAACATCCCCTCAATAATAAACATATCATTACATTTACACATAACAATATCTACGAAATCTGATTATTATTTTATATAATATATTCCTCAAGGTAGAATTGATGGCAGAGCTGATTCATTGTACAGGTGTACCTCTGAGTGTATATAAAGTAAGCTTCCTTCTTCATAATAGCAGACACTGTTAGATTCATATCAGTTTAGTTATAGTTGGAGTTAACTATAGTTTTTAGTTTGGTAAATATGGAGCAGTGATGCTGCTGAGTAATATGAGCCAGCTAATTTGATCATCTAATAGCAGATATTGTCTTACATCATTCCATAGACATCAGTCACTTGTTCAACATTGTAATTACATGTATATAATGAATCAAATTGTATGTGAGCATTTATAATAATGGCAATTGCAATACCAGATAAGGTTGAATGTTCTGCAGATGTCCATAGGAACTGCATACGGCTTCTTTTTGAACCACTTGTGGAAAGTTGGAGATAAGGAACAACAACACTTTTAATGAAGGTAAATGGTAAATGAAACATTATGTTTAAGGAAGTAAAGACAATGCTCAGTGGGTTGTTTTGGTGTGAGGAAACATGACACATCAACCATCTGATGGGTTGGAGCAGTATCTCCACCTGTTGGCAGTAAAACCTGCTCCACAAGGAAGTGCAGCGCTGTTTAAAGGAGCTCCACCAACTATTTCTCACTGCCGTCTTCATGCTTTGAGTGCCTCTCTGCAGACGGGTTAAACAGTGCCTGTGATTCAAGGAATCACTGGCAACTCAACCCAAGAACCCTTCCTGAAACTCCACAGATAATGTGATCCGGTTCTCACACTAACCTGCAGAGTATTAGTGACACCCAGGTCACTAAGAGGTCGAATTGTCCAAAAATCAGCTCCTATCGTCTTTCCCTATCCACTATTCCTTGACCTCTGTGTGAAACGTCACAGGGTTAAGGAATAGTGGATAGGAGAATTCAAAAGGACTTAGGAAAAGACAACCGGGCTTCAAGAGAAGCTGACTGCACTGATACTATCAGACGTATTAATGACGCACCAGAGGATGTTCTTAATGTGCGTCTGCTGGGAGGAAACTACAGTTCTCTGTACAGAGGACTACTGGAAGACATCTAGAGACTTTGCACCGTGCTCTGATGGTGTTGAAATGCTTTATGAACAAGAGAAAAATATTATCTTCATTAGGAGGGAACTGAAATAAAAAAGTAAAGTGGGGAGGCATGTGGCGCAGTGGATAGAGCCTTGGTGTTGGGATCAGGTTCAAACCCCACTGCAGTCAGCATGTCGTTGTGTCCCTGAGACACTTCACCCCAAATTGCTCCTGTGGGGATTGTCCACAGTACTGAGTATGTAAGTCGCTTTGGATAAAAGCATCTAACAAGTAACATGTAATGTAAAGTGAAACGTATTGTTGTCAACATCCCCAAAGGTTTAAGAAACCCCACACAGCTCAGTAAACTCTGAAATGTTGACTTTATTTTATCAGTGATAAAGTAACGTTCATATTTCTCCTTTTGATTATTATAGTGTTGAACGTACAAAAAAATCACTTTGGCATGTTATGGTATATGTTGTAAAATGCTTAATAAGCACCGTGATCCATTTAATCATACATTTGACATTATTTTACTATAGGTATTGATAAATCAATGTCTTCATTACTTCAATGTTGCTCTTGGTTAAAGTAGGGAATATTTGCCTACAAAATGTGATGGAATAAAAATATAAAGTAGCATAATGTGAAAGTACCTACATTTGTACTTATACACAGTACTTGAGTAAATGTACTTAGTAACATTCCACCACTGCTGACAGCCAGCATGTGATCACTGTGCGCACACCTGCAGAGCAAACACAGAGAAACTATACACACACAAATCATCATTTCCTAGAGCAGATGTGACGTCCAAAATAAAAAAAACATCAAGTTAATTTCACTGAAAAGAAGACTAGAGCCGGTGAAGGTGGGGGGGATGTATTTTCAGAGGGGGGGGGGGTGGGAGTGCCACCTGAACCTGGGTTCAAGCAGAGGCAGGCCTGTAGCACTCTGAAGGCCCAGCTCTCTGCTGCCCCCTTCTGCCCTGCCTCTTTCATCACACACTGTCTAATATAATGCCAGGCACAAAACATCATGGCTTTATATATTCACCATCAACTCAAAGGACACATCAAGAAGCAAACACAACATTCACAAATAAAATGTATAATTAAAAAATAAAGTAAAAGCATCAAAGAGTTAGGGTTTAACTTTTTAACTATTTTTAAATTATATTTGTTGGTCCATTCCTATTTCTCATGTACCTGTAGGCTGCTCATTATGAAATACACAACAGTAATGAATCACTTTACCAATCTTGGACTGTGTATAAAATAAACCAAGGATAAGAATATTGCTCAACAGAAACTTCACCACTGACTGTCAGTGTGTGAGCTGCTGCTGTGTTAACCTTGTGTTGTGATGTTCTCCTCAGACACGGTACGACGGGCGCCTCGTGGCTCAGAGCCCCTCCCCCAGCACCCCCCAACCATCGAGCTGCGCCACCGCGCACGCTCCCCCCACCTTCAGACTCCCAGGCGGTCCCCTCCGGAGCCCCACCCCCCCCGCACAGCCACAGATGACCACCTGCAGACCTTCTCTCAGCTGCCCGACAGCAACCACCACCCCCAGGAGGAGATGTACCCCCTGTCAGTGTCCCCCGCTGCCCCCAACGGCCGCTGCGTCACGCCCCGAGACCCCTGCCCAGGCAGCCCCGGGGGCCAGGAGGCGGGCCCTCCTCGCGTCATCCAGCTCATTCCCAGCGCCATCATGAACCCCCTGCTGCTCAGCCCCAGCAGGAGCGGCGGGGGGGCCGCCATGGACTTCAGGCACATCCGCGGACCCCCGTCTCATGCGCCGCTGGAGAACGGGCGGGAGCTGAAGGGGCACAGCCTCCACCCTCAGATGTCTCTGTCCCAGCAGCAGCTCCTACAGGAGGAGGCGCTCTACAGGAACCACGTCATCATGCCCGTGTCCCCCCCCGAGGAGCAGCAGATCCCCATTGGACGCATCGCAGGTGAGATTTACCTGTCAAAGGTCAAAGCTGCTATTTCTCCAGACACATGTGAGGAGACACTTCAGACCCCATTCACTTATCACTTACCGCAAAGCATGGTGGGTAAAGACGTTGTGTGTCCTCAGACTGCAGGCTGCTGTGGGACTACGTCTACCAGCTCCTGTCCAACAGCCGGTACGAGAACTACATCCGCTGGGAGGACACGGAGAGCAAGGTGTTCCGCATCATGGACCCCAACGGCCTTGCCAGGCTGTGGGGGAACCACAAGGTACACACACACACGCACACAACACACACACACACACACACACACACACACACACACACACACACACACACACACACACACACACACACACACACACACACACACACACACACACACACACACATACCATGTATACATCACTTCAGGGGACATTACATTGACTTACATGCATTTCCTGGAGACTTATCCTGACCTTAACCATAACCAACTCATGCCTAACCCTTAACCTTACCCTAACCCTAAACCTAACCAAGTCTTCACCCTAAAATTAATGATTCCCCTTATGGGGACCTCCATTTTGTCCCCATAAGGGAGGCGAGTCCCCACACGTGACTGTGTAGACAGATTTAGGTCCCCACAAGTATAGTAATGCTAGGACACACACACACCACACACATACACACACACACACACACACACACACACACACACACACACACACACACACACACACACACACTGTGAGGCTTGATAGAGAGTTCTGGTGATTGTTCTGCAGAACTTACCTGGCTGGAGCGGGTTTTTTCAGAGCCGTATAATATATATAATAATATAATATGAATGTTGCCACTGGATGAGGCCATGCATTGACAGGAGCACAGACTGTATGCTTGAGCTGAACAAGATATGGCTTTTATTATCAGCGTCATGATGTAAGTCTTCCTGATAAACACCTTGGAAGTTGACGTTGCTTTTTAGGGAATTTGTTGAAACTAGTATCGGTAGAACACACTTCAAAATGACTTTAACCGTAATAGAAGGCTGCACTGATCAAACTGTCCTATATTTAACGGACAGTTTACCCCAAAATAAACAACAAATAGTTTTCATGTATCTAGGTTGTTTTTGGTGTTTTGGAGATATATAATATAATGGAGTCAGATGGCTTCAGAAGCCTTGACCCTGTTATTCAACATATTGCACAGACATTGTTGGGAGCAGTTTATGTACAAACTATTTTCTTTCTACCACATCAATGCGCAGAAAGCAAATATCTTAGGTAACTGGTCTCTGGAAAGAGGTTACATGTATTTTGATCTAGCACCCAGTGCTACCCTTTCTCATCGTTTTAGAGAGAAGACTGACTGATGAGTATCACTGCAGGTGAGAGGTATTTCTGGGTGAGCAGAATTGATCTATCATGTCAAATGAAAGGTCTGCCCCCATGTGACAGCTTTAAATGACAGAAAGCTCATTAAGAAAAATCGAATTTTGCATCTCATTATTAATATTATTAAACACTGCTGTTGTCTTCCCCCTAACAGAACAGGACCAACATGACGTACGAGAAGATGTCGCGAGCACTGAGACACTACTACAAACTGAACATCATCAGGAAAGAGCCCGGACAAAGACTTCTGTTCAGGTAAAGCCTCTTAAAGACGGAACCATCATCAGTTTGTCTAGTTTCAGTGATGCAAATTAGTCGCTTTTCCGCGCCTCCCGCTTTTTTAATGCTGACTTGGGTGACTTGTGTAATTCGTGGAGAACCGAAGAGTTTTCGTTTTGGGGGGGGTGGGGTCAGTCCGTCCGTCCGACTGACGGGCAACTTCTCACTTCAAAAAAGAAGAAGAAATCTAGATAATATAATAATAATTAAACAAGTGAGTGCCTGTTTTTCCTGGCCAAGGACAGGTTCCTTGAACACAACACGAGCGTAACGTGTCTTCACGTGGTATATGTCTGAAAGGAGTGTAGACTAGAGCAGGGGTTCCCAACCCCCGCTCTAGGCAGGTGTTACTGCCGGGCTGCGAAATAGCTGTGAGTTTATCTTAATATTTGCAGAATTATAAATATATAAAAATATTTTATCATAATATTTTTTTTAAAAAGTGTTTAATTTTTGCACCTATCCCAGTCATATTATTTCATCCAGTAGCCTAGTTCATCTTTCACCAGAAAACCGTTGAAAATGGCTTTTATGATGTTCCGAGGGATTCGGCGGCTCAGCCTGGTCTCAGCCTCTCGTGCGCACGAGAAAGTTACCGGTGCGCCAAGTTGGAAGAGGAGCGCACAGCAGACAACCGTTTGATTGCAGACTGTTATGTTTATGTGGGGAAATGCAAATACATTATTTGAGATATATTTCAAACTCAGACTTCATTTTAAGAACATGTCGGCCAGGGGTGTAGAGCTATTTGTTTAAGCACCGGATTGGCAAAACAGGAGAGTCTGTAAACCAGTCTGCTTTGATCTATCACGGTATCTGCTGCCACAGCTGTTTTATAGAAGGAAAACCTCCTTCACTTCATGAAATGGCTGCAGCATCAGGAGGCAGCGGGACGTATACTCCGCCTCTGAGAAGTGCAGCACCAGCGCGCCGAGAGCGGTGCCTTTTTACGCACCGCCTTCGCTGTGTTTACCTTCATCAGAACAGCGAGTGACTGCAGGCTGCTACGTGTTAACCACACACATCTCTACACACATCTACACACATCAAACTGCCCGATTACTCCCCCTTTTATTAGTTTTATGAAGGAGATGTCCAGTCCCCAAGGCGCATGATGTGTGTGTGTGTGTATGTACTCAGCTCAGCTCTGTGTGTTCGGTGTGTTTGTGTCTGTCCGACACCGGCATTTGTTTTCAAATGACCATGAACAGTAATTTACACAAATCTGGCTAACTCCATAGGTATATGCGGGTGTTCCCATAAGAAGTTAGTTTCATCTTAATCTCGATGTATTGCTAAATGCTGTCGGAGTGCACACACACACACACACACACACACACACACACACACACACACACACACACACACACACACACACACACACACACACACACACACACACACACACACACACACACACACACAACAGTTAATTGTAGCATTATAGCACAGGCCTTTGTCAGATGGTATATTACGCTCTTTTTTCACCATACCTGTGTTTGCATCACTGTAGTTTACAGCATCAATGTGGGTAAATGAGCCGTCGTTTCTGTGTGGCGTCCCTCAGGTTCATGAAGACCCCCGATGAGATCATGAACGGACAGACGGAGCGGCTGGAGCACCTGGAGTCAGACACAGACGAACAAATCTACATCAAAGAGGAGTGCTGAGGAACTCTGGGAAATGGAGTTTATGAACTTATTACTACTACAGCCGCTGATGCCTTTCAGAAGCAGCGTGAACAATCGCCGCTGAACCTGCAGCGCGTGGACGCTCGCTCTATCAGTCACACTCAGAAAGACTCAACTGTTTCTCTTCATTGCCTTAGGAGAATATTTTCCAGAGTTAATAAATAAAAGGGCATCATGTGTTGTGATTTCCTGATGGATAGAGCTGAGAGACTTTCTACGTGTTCCCCTTTATTTCCAAATGAACTGCAAAAGCCAATCACTCTGAGCTTCTGTCACTTTGATGATTTTAATGTCTCCTCACCTGCATTATAAAGGAATTGTTGCTGTTTGTAAAAAGACAATTGGGTGTGTGCGTGTGTGACAGGAATGTTTTCACAATGGAATAAACATTTTTGATTAAACTATGTTCTCTTAGAGTGGAGTATGTTTAAATGTTACTGAAGGTTAATGACCACCCTTTTCCAGTGTGTCCTGTTCCTCTTCAGGAAGGTGTCAGGAACAGGCTGGTGTAAAACCGGAAGTGTCCACAGGGAGGCAGTACTGCACTGTCAGTGAGAGGAGTCTGCTGTCATCATCATGCTGCTGCTCTAAACACTGGAAGATGTAAACAAGTCATTTTGGGAATGACTTGCTTCAGGTAGAATTGCTCATCCTATGTCAAATGATCACTTAATTGCAATTTCAGATACATAATTCACTGATTGTATCCCAGCAGCTGGACTTTAATACAACATGTTGCTGTACCACTTCCTGAATGAGGGAGTGTGTCTCTGGTATTATTGTGTTTTGTGATTTATTAATTTGTTCTTAAAACAGAGCCTTAAAGTCTTATGATTATGTAGTTTGTGAACACCATACCATCACTCGTTTTTTTGTATTCTCGTTATCATATCAAATGTCATTATGATTGATCTTCATTCATTTGCAGGGGATAACGGAAACAACGCCAACTTGTGTCAGTGTCAGTCCTTGTGAAAACATGTTATACCCTAACTCACATGAGTCATTGACAGTAATCAGATTACTTTAAGGCGGGAGCGACTGCGTAGCGGCGCTGCGATCCAGAGTCTCATAAAGTTAGCGCGCGAGACTTGGAGCGGGCAGACGGAGCGAGGCGGCGGAGCGCGCGCTGTACAGAGAGGAGCGTCTCTGAGACATTATTATTTCATCTCCGGCTGACCACACACTGAAGCTGAGGTACAGAGAGTCAGCAGCTGTTGGGGGACACACCGGTAGACAGGCGCGAGGTGTGGATGCACGAGACCCGCGGACATGTCCACGCTGTTTCTCGTGTCTGATTCTGACAGAGCCCTTTGATTTCCTCCTCAAAGAAAGAGGCACCACTCCCGAATTTTCCCACAAATCCAGGACCAAATGTCTCCCGGACCTTCCCGTGGATTGTAGCAGCCCCCCCGATGCTGTGAGAGGCGTTCAGGTGCGGGACGGGAGTGGGACAATTACAGGTAAGAGACATGCACGCGACCCCGGCGCGAGGGTATTCTCTGTTAGGAGTTCCTGAAAGAAACTCATTCCTTGCACGTGCTTTATTTCGCAGCGCATCAGTCTCCATCTGGAGGGTAACACCTGACAATTAGAGCAGATGTCCCTCCGTCACTCACATTCACCTGGTGAAGCACGCATATATTTTTCATTTTTGTTGTAACGGATTGTTATTAAAACAGTTGAACTTATTACATATAAATGCACTCTCTCCCACTGACAGACAGCTGCAGTCTCAGGTGATTTCAGACTTTACTTGATATCATGATTTATAAATGTGCTAAGCTTCCCCTCTTAGAAACATCACCATCCATCATCCTGTGTGACACCAACAGTATTTTAGTTCACTTAAGTTAAGTACAGTTTTTCAGTAAGACAACCAGTTACATGGACTTTATTTCACCAACAATGAAGTCCTCCGACTGTTTTAATGAAGTCCTTGGACGCTAGATAAACACCCACTGGTGTTTTGGATTCAAATATCTCTCTTTTGATTCAACTCAGCAGAAGTACAGTGAGTAGCAGACTGCTGTCAGGAAGTGTTCTCCGCTAATATTCAGGGAGGATTTGACCTCTGAGGATGAACTCTGAGGCCTCTTCTTCGTCACATTAGCTTCCTCCTCTTTCCCCTGCCACGCGGTGGTTCAACTCAAACATTTTGAGAGGAGTTTTTTGCATTTTGAGAATAAAGTTAAAATGTTTACAACAGAGGTCAACGTGTATACGTTATAATAGTGATAATAGTTTTATTTATTTCCAACATATCTATATTTCAAATGTATTCTCTTAAGGCCAAAAAAACAAGAGATGTAAAAAGATAACAACTTCCCCCTCTGATTTATTTCCCCCCTTATGTCTGGCCACAATCGTCTTCCATAGTTTTGCTTTTAAGATTAGCTAAAAATGTTACAAAGACTTTCATTATTTTCCCATTATACAGAAAATAAGAAGATATTTAGTTCCTATTCATGTTGACATCATGACCGTGACTCAGGTTTTACTTATAATGAATAATTGTACATTTGTACTGGTTGTGTGTGTGTGTGTGTGTGTGTGTGTGTGTGTGTGTGTGTGTGTGTGTGTGTGTGTGTGTGTGTGTGTGTGTGTGTGTGTGTGTGTGTGTGTGTGTGTTTAGATGTGACGGGTGTCTAGTGATTGTGTGTTCCTGCCCGCTGCAGATGAAATTGAACTTGATACTGGCATAAATCATGTGTCCTCATTTTAAGATATGTGTGTTGCATGGTCTTGTTTAATAAAGACTAGAAAGATACAACAAAAAGAATCACTTACACAGAGAGCGGTGGCCCCTCAGTTAGACAAATCAAATAGTTTAGATCTCGTTTTCATTTGTATATGATATCCTGTGTGTCCTCTCATGAGCCCTCCGACATATCTTGTGAACCTTTAGAGAAGTGATTCTCAAATGGGGGTACGCGGACCCCTGGGGGTACGTTGGGGTACTGCAGGGGGTACGTGAGATTAAAAAAAAAAAAAGGTTAATTAAAAAAATAATCTTAGTAAAATAAGTTAAATAGAAAACACAATTTTATATAAAACATTCCTAGAACCACCAAGGGGTCCTCATATAAATCAAATGTGTGTATTGTATTTTATAGTTTTTCACAACAATAAAATATTACTTAAATTGAAAAACTCCTTGGAAAAATCTGTTTTATAAAAGTGTTATGTTATTTTTTTTCATGCATAAAGTGAAAATATCCTTAGTTTGTTGTAATGCATACCACGAAGGAGTTAATAAATTAAACACTGAGGGAACATCACTATATTGTAATTATTTATATAGGCTTTTTCGATCAAAAATGTTCGGGATCGGTCAGACCCGCTCAGAGACCCAGGTCGTCGCACGCATCTCTGCTTGTCTAGCTGACATCTCTCAGTGGATGTCTGCTCATCACCTCAAACTCAACCTTGACAAGACTGAGCTGCTCTTCCTTCCGGGAAAATATTGTCCCACTCTTGACCTAACAATCAACATCGGCACCTCTGTTGTTTCCCCGACTCAGACTGCAAGGAATCTGGGTGTGACCCTAGATAACAACCTGTCCTTCACTGCAAACATCGCTGCTACAACCTGCTGCTGCAGATACACGCTTTACAACGTCCCCAGCTGACACAGAAAGCGACGCAGGTTCTGGTCCAGGCTCTCGTCATCTCACGCCTAGACTACTGCAACTCCCTCCTGGCTGGTCTACCTGCATGTGCCATCCGACCTCTGCAGCTCATCCAGAATGCAGCGGCTCGTCTGGTCTTCAACCTTCCTAAATTCTCCCACACCACTCCGCTCCTCCGCTCCCTTCACTGGCTTCCGGTAACTGCTAGAATCCACTTCAAGACACTGGTACTTGCTTACCATGCTGCGAATGGATCTGGCCCTTCGTACATCCAGAACATGGTTAAACCGTACACCCCAGCGCGTGCACTACGCTCTGCATCAGCCAAACGACTCGCTGCGCCCTCGCTGCGAGGGGGACCCAAGTTCCCATCGGCAAAAACACGTGGGTTTGCTATCCTGGCTCCAAGATGGTGGAATGAGCTCCCCATTGACATCAGGATGGCAGATAGCTTGCACATCTTCCGGCGCAGACTGAAAACTCATCTCTTTCGACTCCACTTCGAGCGTTAGAACTATTAACGAAGCACTTATATACTAATAAAGGACTGGCTTACCTAAAGCCAGTTGAGTAGCACTTGAAATGTTTGGCTCTATGAAACCTGATGTACTTATATGATTTTGTTTTCTTCAAGGTTGTGTCTTCCTGGTCGAATGTCGAAAGGTCAAAAACTAAAGAGGGGCTTCAAAATCCGGCAGATCAGGTGTTGGTGCTGCCGGATTTTGAACCTCCTCTTTAGTTTTTCACCTGCAGGGCCCAGAGTGAAATGCTTTTGTGAGCACAAACTAGAGGGGAACAGCAAACAACAGTATGATTTTGGTGAGTCTGTGACTATCCTGGAGAAAGATATAGGGGGGGGGGGTTCCAAATCCGGCAGGAGAAATACCTGCTCTGAACATGTTATGTATAACAGTGCAGATCTTCCCTATTGACACCAGGATTAACCTAGTCTAAAATAAGGAACATTAATAGTGTGATAGAAAATGAAATGTAATGTAATAGAGGCACAGATATAAGATCAATAATACACTTTATTTTAGGGCACCTTTCAAAGCATTCAATGTCACCTTAAAATACAATTTAAAAAAAAAAATAGGAGTGGCATTACAATGCAAACATGTGTTGAGTAGGGATATATAACAATGATATTCAAAGGAGCAATTCAAGTGAGTGAAGCCAGTTTGAACACATTATCTTGTAGGCTTGATTGAAAATAACACAGTGTCTGACATGATCATGTGATATCATTACGGTTATATCATTGCTTACTATTCGTGGTTATCAGACACTTAAACAACAGAGAAGGTTTTAAGAAATAGGACTATACTGACAAATCACATATTATCCTGTCATTGTCTGTTCTGTAGGAAGGAGGAATATAACAGAGTGACTGCACTCAAAAACGTAAGTGTATTCCAATACGAAGATTGTGACAGATCTGAAAAGTGTCCTTAAAACGAGCCTCCTCGCAATTGTATGCACATTATTTATTCAGCCGTTTGCTGTTTAATCTGATATATCACTCAAAAGAGAGAAAAAAGCTTAGAAAACGGCGAAAGCTCAATACAGGCGATAACGTCACTTTTGCGCGTCCCCGCGAACAGGGCTTCAATCCACGGCAGGGCTTCAACCTACGGCATAACACCGGCTGTCTGGCCAGCAGCGACGGATCAGCCAATGTCACCTTTTCTCCCAAGGGTCACATGACCTCGGCGCCTCGCTCGCCGGCTGCCTCGCATTGATCTGCAGTGATGTCCTGAGGCATTTTGTTTGTGTAGCATAGCAGCAGGTACACAGATCTATTTAATAGACATGCTGCGCATAATCTAATGTTAATTAAAATGTGAATGCTAGAAATGAAGTTCAAACCTACAAAATACTCTGTACGGCCCTAATTCAACAGAATCTGAATCTATGAAAGTCACACACACATCCATCACACACACTCCACCAATAGAAACAAATATATAGATAGAATGGGAGGGATGAAACCCTCTTCAATGGTCACACATGCAGAGCACACAGCACACACAGTGACATGTGTTCTCTGCTTCTAACTCATCCTAGTACCAGGAGCAATGGGAGTGGGGGGGGGGGGGGGTGTCCGGTGCCTTGCTCAAGGGCACCACGGCAGAGCCAAGGAGGTGAACTAGGACCTCTCCAAGTAGCAGTCCACGATAATACAGGTCTGGTCGGGGACTTGAACCGGCGACCCTACGGCTCACAGTCCAAGCCCCTACTGACTGAGCCACTGCTCTACATTGGCATTTAACACAAACTGATGTTGGACCAACAGAGTGGTTCACTCCAACATGTTCTTAATTCCCCAGATTCCATACCATTCCCAAAGGATAACCCAGGCTCACATATATGTAATACTTCTTTCACCAATGAGAGGAAACGTTGCTCTAAACATTTGACATGGAGTTCTGCTTTCTTAGCAGATGCTTTGGAGGTCTACATGTCTTGCTGTCTCAGAATCCTCCTCTGCAGGGACACCCCAGTCTGTGTAGTGCGTGATCACGCTGTACTGCACCCTCATCCACACTTCAGTCAGCTGAGATACTGTTTGAATGCAGATGGAAGGAAAGGAGAAGAGAGAACAGGAGAGAAACTGCACTGAAAAAAATCATTAATACAAGTTGAAAAAAAAACGAGGTTCAACTTTTCAACTAACATTATACAGTTATGTGAAATCTGTTAACATACATTAACACAATTCAGTGTGGATAAAACATTGAGAGGGATTACCCCCGCCCCCCATGTTATCTCTCCTGCAGCTTCTTCCTGTGTGGCCATGCGCCGTCACGGAGGATAAGTCCAGTCCCCAA